AGTTCTTTCATTGAGCAGCGTGTATTGGATCGCTGACCAGCAATGTTCAACTGTTGTATAGACGGGATGTTACTGCTACCTTATAGCCACTATCTAGACTGTATTTATTGTAATATAATTACAATTGTGGCACAACGCCAAAGGCGAAGTGGGGTTAGGCTGGTCATTCCTGATTATCCCAAACCTAGTTAAACTGAATCGCGACACATTCATTCATTACAATTTACTCATTCACCACAAGAACTCATCCATCACAGTTCAATCCAACACATACCACAATATTGTATATTCACAGGGATCCTAATAAAACGCCCATCTAGATTGCAGCTGTCAGTGAGTGGACGATTGCTGTCTGTGTGTAGGCGGTCTGCGTGGGCGGTTGTTGTCTCTATGGCCTGCTAATGTTTGTGGATTGTGGTGTATGATTTGCCTGTATCTTTTATTCAATAAAATATTACTTAGAGGTAATGTCCCTGTACAGTATTTGGGATGATACAGTCGTCATTTACAATTGGCTCGTAAAAACGAAATCACTTATGACCTAACCTGATATTACATTTGAAGGATTGAGAGAAATGATGGAAGAAAAGTCCTAATACACATTTTGTTAAGATCAAAATACTGTCATAAATTCGTCTTGCAGGTAGGAAAAAGTCAGAGAAAATAAATATTTTTATTTAAAATAGATATATTTTTTAATAAAATAAATAATATTTAAATAAACTAATTTATTAAAAAAATATTACTTTAGTAAAGGCTTACGGCCACATCACGTTGAAACACCGGTTCACGTATGATCACCGAAGTTAAGCAACTTCGAGTCTTGTCACATGCTGTAAGCTTGAATGCACGGTCAGTGTAATTGATAATGGCTCAGAATTTTTAATCAGAGAGTCGAGTTCCAATTTCATTTGGGTCCGTTAGATTCATTTACGCACAAATACCCCTCTATCCATCTATTCTCCCCCAGCTACGAGTTAGTAAAACTTGTATCACGAAATCATTATTATCTCAGTAATTAAAAAAAAAATTACAATCTATTTTCTGGCTTTAAATAACCTGAAAAGGGTTGATAAACCGTACAAAAACGAATTACTCGACCAATCAATCAAAATATGATATATTGCCATTTAGTTTATTAAAATTATTTCATTATAAATAAGTTAAATTATGAGTTTCTCTTTCTTATGACTGTCTATTCGAATCCATGCGTTAAGATTGGATTATTGGGGGTGTTTAGTTTATCTCTTCATATTTTTGCTTCGAACAAAAAACTAAACAATATTTGAATGACAACGATATTGAATTGAGTTGTATCATTTGCCTAAAGATCATTCATTGTTACTCAAAAATCAAAATAAATCTTTCTAAATCATGATAATTTTTTTTTTTAGAAACATTAGGTTTTCTTTTAAAACTTTTTGTCTTATTTCATGTAAAGTCTGAACTACAAGTCTTATTACCATAAAATAATTACGAGCAAAAATGTTTTAAATTTAAAATCACAACAACGACACCTCGATGTGGTTTGCAAGTCTAGTTCTAGTACGACTGAGTAGTGAGTTCGATCCTCATTGAATGCCTTGTGCCACATAAGCTATGCCTAGAAAATCATTTGGGCCCTTCGATGTAGTGTTAGTTAGCATTCTTGTTTCGCTAGAGAACAATTACAATTGAGTAGTTAGTTCGATCCTCACTGGGTGCCCCGTAATTTCGGCCTTGTGCCACATCTAAACTATGCTTAGAAAATCACAATAAAACTCAATAGTAGAATAAATAATAATAAAAGTGGACACTGAGGTCAACACCGAGAGGCGAGTCTAATATTAGTGTTCAATGAACACTAATATTACACTGTTCATCATCAATCATGCTTTCTTTGAGGTTGAAGAAAGTAATCTTCTAGTCATTTTTTAAGAGTATCAGACAAAAAATATACAATCAGGAATAATTTTAAAAGTAAAAATCTTAACAAACAAACTAAACAGTAACACCTTTAAATTACTCCCATGACTTTTTCTGATTTAGCCACCCCATTCCCCAACTTATCTTATTTTGGGTCATCGTGCTTGCAAGTTTAACTTCGAATTCTAACTTTTATTTCACATAAAAAACAATCACATTCATAACCAACCACTATGACTTGCTTATGTTAAAAGTACATTTTTTATTGACTTGACGATTAGAGAGGTAAAGAAAAAAATAATGTCATTCCTTTTTAGTTTTTATCCTGTTTATTTATTTTTAATAAGTTGAAGTTGTAAGCTAAGCAGGAGGGGAGTAGCAGTAGATCAGAGTTTGGGGCCGCCAGCGTGATCTATGTATATTGTAATAGCGGGAAAAACCAATGTATTTTACTTTTTTCAAACAATATGTCGGAGTAACTAGTTTGCGGTACCTAAACACGGCTCCGGGTGGTAGTTATCACCTAATATTTTTGGTCTCTTTCCTTTGATAAACACGTCCCCAAGGGTACTGTTGCTCCCACCCTTCTCTCAGTGAGTCGCCTGGTTGGAAAAAAAACTTGAATTTAGAGCGGGCCACTGACTGTGATTTCATTGGTCGAACCACACATGTACCCATTAAAAAATGTTGTCAATAAAACTTTCAAACAATGTCTGTTTTTTTTGTTTTTTTTTTTCTTCCAAAAATCTTCTTCACCATGATGACCCTTTTGCACTATTTTTCATTTTCCCTTCAATCGACAATACAGGAGAGTCACGTACACAAAAATTTATCTCCTCTTCCCACCTTTTCACTGCGAGGGAAATAAATTAGTAGTCAATATAGTCTTGCTTGCTCTTTTTAGTTGTATTTTCTTAACTTATCTTAGTTTCTTAGTCCGAGACAAAATCAAAGGAAAGGAAATTGCTCAAAGAAGGTTTTTTTTTTTTTATCTCATTCTCTCGGATAGAGTGGGCTCCTGCTTAATTTAAAAAATCATTCAACTTGCGAAATCTTGTTTTTTAAAGTTTCAGTAAAATAAATGCATATCGTTTCTTGAAGAAATTTTTTTAAAATAATTGTTTGTAACTGAACAATATGCACTTCTCTGAAACGTGCTTCCCATTTTGTTTTAGTTTTTTTGTTTCTACAACCTCAACCACATTTTCATTTTTAATTTTAATTGTTAAAAAATTCCCCCCCAAAAACGGCCATACCGAAGAATAAAACGATTGAAAGAAAAAAATGAGAAAGAAGAAATTAGTTTTTAAAAAAAAAAAGAAAAGAAAAAAAAAGGGAATATTAAATCTAGTGAAAGCTATATTGGACCAGAAAATCAGTTTTTTGGCCCTTGAAGGTATTGGGTATATTTTTTAAGAAAGTAGTTTAGGTAAAATAAAAAAAAAATGTAGTTCTGTTAAGTTCCGGTTTGGTTATCTGCGTCAAACAATTATTTATTGACGCAAAGGAAAAAAAAAAAAAAAAACAACAAAAAAAAAAAAACGTTGAATTATCACTCAGCTTATATTTATTTGTTCCATAAAAAAATAAAATTGTTTTTGAATTTTCCAGAAACTATTCTTGTTCTTATAATTATTCTATTTCAAATACAGAAATATTTAAAATACAGAAATATGGTACAAGGCCAAAGAGGGGGGGTGAATGCTGGTCATCTCTACGACCTTAAAAAAAAAAAAAGTAAATAAACTTAGCTAGCCGCATTCACTGACCGAATCAGATTTTTTTTTTTTTTATAATTCCATGCATTATATTGGGTTGGTGTCAGGCGTTTTTAAACAATATTTATTATGAAAAAAAGAAACATAATTCAACAATTTTTAAATTAGTATGATTATGGACACGCATTTTTTTATAAACTGAAAATAAAATATTTTTATTAAAAAAGTAAACAAAACAGCATTTTTTATTAAATGACTCGCCTACAAAAACGCCTGATAATTATGCACCAACCCAATATTTTTTTAAATAAGTTTATGTTTATTGCATTTTTACAAAAAACGCATGCTTTCTATGAACTTCTAATAATCTAATTTCTATATTTAATTACGATTATTCAGTAGGAGGGGGGGATAAAGAAATTTTATTTATTTTTACACTTTTTAACACTAACAGTCTAAAAAAAATACTGCCATAAATGAAATGAAAATGAATTACAAGAATTTATTTAAATTTTATTGCAAATAAATTTTGAATAGAAATATGCGACCCTACACAACCTAAATTAGCAGAAAATCAAGCTTTTTGGAAGTATAATTTAATTTATATTTACTGTTTTGCTCTTAAAAGAAATGAGCGTTGTCATTTTTAAATTTAAACATTTGAATGACAATCTGTGATGAATTATAAAAGAAACCTCTAAAGAACTGATTATTAAAATTCAGTTAATAATTTATATAGCACAAGAACAATAGAGCTGTATTAAAAAAATATGCAGGTTAAAAATATTTAACTGGATTTTATCATAAAATCCAATTAAATATTTTTAACCTGCATAAAATTTTTATGCATTTTACATTGAAAAATAAAGCAAAGCATGAAAACTTATGCTTCATTTTTTAAATTTAAGTGCTACACTGCTAATAAACAAGATTAAGAATAAAAAAAACTGATTGAATGCGATGTGAAGGTTTCTTTAACTACTGGGTAGGATTTTCATATCTTTAAAGCATTAATTTATATATATAAATTATATTATTATTATAAGGTTTCGGCAAATAATGCGCAATCGAAACCCTCGGTGTATTAAATAATAGCACACGTGCGTGTACTCAAGCTTTAGGGCCGAAAAACGTCGAACGCCTCCGAAGTTTGCCGTAGACGACCACGTGACACAGTACGCAATCGTATATAAACAACTTGCACGTTAATTGCGGGTTCTAGCCGGCCAGCCAACCGACCGATTCATGAATTATCTCTAATCTCATTCAGTTCGCTTTTCTTCGCCACTTGATTTCTCTGTTATCCCCTTTCCTTCTTTTTAACATTTAAAGCTAATTGTTTACCAAAGAAAGTCCGTTGAGCAACAACTTGCAATCATGTCCGACGAATATCACAGACCCGATGCCAAAACTGTCTCCGAGTTGAAAGACATGGCTAACAAACTGCGTATCGACAGTATCAAGGCAACTGACGCCAGTAATTCAGGGTAAGAGAAGTATTATTGTGACAATTTTTTTTTTTTAAAAAAAGGAAAAAAAAGACAATGTATTTCATTTGTATTGTTTAGTGCTTGCTTAGGGAAGCTACTAGAACTACAATTAGTAAATTCTTCAAGTAAAAAAGTAATTTATCTTTTTTGTTTTTTTCGTTAAAGTAAACTGTAAAGAAGTCTAAAAAAAAAAAAAAAAGAAAACAAATAAAACACTTTAAATATTGTTGTCAAATCCCCAACAGAAGATTCCTGTAGCATTATGTAAATGTTACCTAAAAGTATTGTTGATAGTGATAATTAAGTTAACGTGATAAATGTTAAACATTGTTCTTGCAATTTAGTAGGTGGATGTTCTTTGCAGTCGAATAATTAAAAACAAAAGAAAAAAAAATCCTTGTTTGTTTTTTCGTTTTTCTTTAAAATCAGTCACGTTTTTTATTGTTTTTATTTTTGTACTCTTTAATTCTTCCGTGAATGAAGCCATTCCATTTTTAACTGGTACGAAAACCTGTCTTTTTCTGTTCATCTCAAGAAATAATTTAAAATTTATATTTTTTATATAGGAACTTCAGGTCATTAAAAAAAAGCAAAAAAAAAGCAAACAAACAAAACTTAAATATTGAGCCGCAAACAAAAAAGTAGGCTTTTAGCCCTGGAGTAAAGTTTTGTACACCAGACACGTGGGTCCCATTTTAATCCGGTTAAAAAAAAAAACAAAAAAAAAACAAAACAATTTTGACTTTTTTTTATTTCTATTATTTGCAAGTAACAATTATCGGATACATTTCTCTTTTTTTTAACTTGTCAAATATTGACAAGTACATAGCTTTTTCTTTTTCCATTTTCTTTTTAATTATCGATATGTAACTTTTTAAAAACACCCCCTCGTAAAACTTAACCATTTAAATGTTTTGTTTAGCAAACGACTGACTTGTTTAGTTACTATGGGGGGGGGGGAATAGTTCTGTTTTAAAATGATAAAAAGAAGAAAAAACTAACGCGTGATTCTAAAATACTTTTTTAGTTTTAAGCTCTAATAAACAATATCATTAGTTTTTGTAATTTAAATTAAGCCACACTTTTGGAAACCCGGCCAAATGGCATAAACTTTATAATGGGTGTGTGTGTTTTTTTTCGTGTTTGGGGGGGGGTTGCTTATAAAAATTTAAATTCTTTTCGATTATGCAAAGTTATGTCACTCATATATAAATGTGCGGAATTTTTGAGAAAAGTAGATTTTGTTCTTTTAAATAAATTTAAAACCAGAAACGTTAATAAATCTTAAATTTATCAGAAATAATGAAACTTACTTTTAAAGGTAAGTACTTTTACTTTTATCCAATCCTTTTTGATTCTAAATAAATTTCAGATTTTTTTTCTTAAAACAAAAAACACTGTTTGGTATTGAAAGCGACCACGTATTTCGAAAATGCAGTTGTTGGAAGAAATAGTACTTTTTTTTTTTTTTTTTTTTTTTTAGCATCCATATGGAATGATTAATTCTTTACATTAAAAATACCCTTTAAAAGAAAGCCTCTTAAATTCACTGATCTTTGATTAGACGGCATACAAGCATATGTTGAAACACCAATTTTCATTCATGCGACCACCGAAGTTAAGCTACATAGTTTGGTCAGTACCTATGGGTGACCGCTTGTTAATATCAGGTGCTGTAAGCTTTTATGTGCGGGGGCTGTAATGGATAACGAAGAGCTCAATTCCAATTCATGTTGTGTTCGTTAAATTCACATAGGGGCAAATATGACTCCACCTTCTCTCCTTCCACATGGGTTAAAAAGTTAAAATGTAGAACTTGTTTCCGTAAACGTCATTATCTTCAAAATAATTTTTACAATCTAAAATTTTTTTTTTTTCCTTCGGGATTTCATTAACAACTTTGTTCTCTTGAAAGATGAGTTTAAATTTTAACAGTGGCTGTCAGTAAAACGGTAATAGCCACCAAATTATTTTTTTTTTAAATAGGCCGAGGGCAGGTTTTTGTGAAGCGAAATTCAAATTTTTCTCTTAATGATTAAAAAAAACAAAAAAAAACATGAAGTTGCAATTTTTTTCTTTGATTCTTGTTCTATTCTTTGCATGTGACATTTTCCTTTCAAACAAAAGCCCCTTCCCCATTTCTATCTTAACCAAATACAGCGACTTGATCAATCATTAACCAATTTTTTATTGAATCTCTGATTAATTAAAATGTTATTTTAAAAGATTCGAGATAAAAGTACTCGGTCTTTAAAGTTTAAACAGATTTTGGGTTTAATATGGGTCCTATAACTTAAATGGCTCTCTTCTGTGTAGTTTCAGAGTAAAAACTTTTTTTTTTCCCCTGAATAAAAATGGATGGGCTTGTCCGGTTCTTGCCCTAGACACTTCACATGCAGTATCCCTACAATGCCAACGGGTTATGGAAGTTGTGGCATGAAACAAATTTGGACTATTTGAACAAAGATTGCAATCTTTCAAGATCCTTAAAGAATATTTTCTTGCTAGGTTTCTGTTAAAAGATCTGTTAACTTCTAATCTAAAGTCAGCTTAATTTTTTTAGTTTCATTTACAACTGCACCAGGTTGTCCCAAGTTCTTGAGTTAGGTTGATTTTATTCTGGGTTTGTCAAATTTTCAAATGTGACTTGTGGTCACGTGAAAGTTTAATAACCTTCATTTTTTTATTTTTTTAAAATGGTCACTTAAAAATCTATATTGCTTGATGTGTTCATTGTGCAAAACTTTAAAAAATGTTACACTTCATATTTTTCTCTTGCACTTTTAACCAACAAATAAAAACTGATTTGTAAAGTTAATGTAGATCACATGATGCTTGTTCTTTTCTGTGAATGAGATTTAATCAGAGCATAAAGAAAAATTGCCAAGTTCATGTTTTAATCATTGCTAAGAGAAAAATTTGCAATTCATTCAAAAAGGAACTGTTTTTTTTCTAAGTAACGAGTTTTATTTTTTCTAAATGAGGCATCGTTTAACTAATATTTACTTTTGATTTTAACTTGTTCAATTAGTACTGTCAAATCACTGCTTTAGATTCACAACATGGATAAAGTTGCTATAACCAAGGGTTAAAAGAAAAAATCTTTTTTCTTTTCTTTTGTGGGGGCGCATTTTTAATGACATTTCGTATTTGGTGACAAAAATTTAGGATTAATGTACAGGTGTTTTAAAATTGAGTTGATCTTTGTAATTGGGTTTCTGAATTTTCTTAATTCAGATTTGTGGCTGATTGGAGAATTATCAAAATGTCACATCTTGTTGGTAGCACTTTTAGATAAACAGCTGATAGCATTAAGCAAATGAGTTAAAAAAAAAAAGGAATAATTTACATAACTTCATAATATAAAAGTTGAAATTTGCTACTGATTTTGACAATTTCATTATTGATGATAAACGGCTTCCTCTGGATAACAAAAAGCTAATTTTTTGCAATTTCTAAGAACTGAAACTTTTTTTCCAAGTAAGCATTGACTTGTCTTAGTCTTGTGCACGTGAAAATGTTATAGTGGATACATGTTTGGAGAATTATCAAAATGTCTTGTTGGTAGCACTTTTAGATAAATAGCTGATAGCAAATGAGTTTAAAAAAAAAAATGGAATAATTTACATAAATAACTTCATAATATAAAAGATTAAGTTGAAATTTGCTACTGATTTTGACAATTTCATTATTGATGATAAACAGCTTCCTCTATAACAAAAAGCTAATTTAAATCTCTATCAAAGCAAGACATAGGAATGGTTATGTAAAGTTGCAAGAGGAACTCTTCATGCAAACTATATTTCCAGTCATTAAAAAAAGACATTACTTATTTTAGTATGGACAGGAAGTGTTGTCTAGGGAGGACATTAACACTTAGCAAACATGAGATTTTTTGCAATTTCTAAGAACTGAAACTTTTTTCCAAGTAAGCATTGACTTGTGTACAGTCTTGTGTGCGCGAAAATGTTATAGTGGATACATGTTTGAATAAACTTTTTTTTTTTTTTTTGTCTACTGGCCTGTATACTTGACAAGAAAGGGATATTTGCTCACGTGTTCACTACATAACATTTAAATAATGGATATTTTTATAATCTGGCATACACATGACTGATTACAACTAAGTTTTTTTTTTTTTTTTTTTTTTTTTTTTTTTACACACTAATGCATACATTCAGTTAGTACAATGATGGTGACAAGCAAATATATCATGTACATGCAAAAAACAAATCTCAAATTATTTGAGTTATGTATATATTTCAGTAATATGTAGGTCTGTAAGTTTATTATGCTAGATAGATTTATCTGGCTCTTTTTTCCTTTGGCCAATGTTGTTGCTCTATAAAACTTAGTATTGACATGTTATCTGCTTCTATCAGCTTAGATAGACTGATTGTAGTCAGCAAATGTCACAAAAGTGCAGCTCTGATGGGCAAATGTTTGCTAATGTTACCAAAGGTAATCAGCTGGACTGGTGAAGGTAATCGACTGTGTGATGGCCTGCTAACAGCCCCCTCCACCCCCAATGTCTTGTCAATTCAACAGCCTGTTTTCTTACTGTGTTAGTATTTCTTTTCTTTTCTAGTTGGTACTAATTCTATATTGATGGTTTCTTCTCTCCAAAGCTACTTTGAACAGTCACTTGCATGCTATAACGGTAAAAAAAAAAAAAAAAATAAACAGTTTTAGTAAGGAAAAGTAATGATTTCGAACTTTGGTCTCTCGACCAGATGGGATTTAGGGTTACTGCTGCCCCCTCATCCTGGAAAAAAATGGAATATCTTCAAACTATAGATAGGTATGCTCATTATTGTTACAGTTAAGATACCTTTCTCACAAGAACCATGAATTCATTATCTCTGAAAATAATTTTGATTTTGACCTGGCTTATTGGTTCTTGCAATTTTAACATTGGTTTTAATTTACCACAATGTTGGTTAGAAAATTTTTCTGTTTTATAAGTGATTCTACCAGGACATGAGATTAATGTCATT